ATAGCCAAATGGTAAGTGGAGACCACCGCCCGTAGGACATGGGTGATCGGTCGACCTATTATGGCATTGTAGGGGGAGGGGGTCGCGACCACCAGAAAGTCGTGCTTGAACCTGACCACGCAAGGTCATGTGTCGACTTCCACAGGTACTGTTGTTTTCCCAAGGGGTCAGACTTCTTCTCCGCTGAAGCCTACCAAAGGAGTGTCTGTAGGTCTCAGGTTGCCTCTCTGCAACTGAAACTGGTCAAACGCGGCTTTGAAGAGGATGTCGGCTGAGCTGCTTGAGTCGACGAGTACGCACCTGATCTCGAAGTCGTTGATTCTTAGCTTTATTACGAGCGCGTCGTCGTGGGGGTAGTGGATTCCTCGCGCATCATCTTCTGTGAAGAAAATTGGCTCTTCTGTCCTCGGCCGCTTTGGGGGGTTCTGCTCCTCCCGGGTGGCCTCACGAACCGACGCCCGAACTGCTGCTGAAGTGCAACCCGCAACGATCGAACCTCCCACTATCATGTGGATGGTCCCCCGAACTAGCCTCTCCTCCGGAGGCTACCTCTGCGGTTGTTCGGCCGGCCTGCTGCTGGACTCGGGAGCATCCTTGTGCGAACTGCGCCCAACTTCTTATCGATCCAGGTGCCAAGTTCCGGTACCATGTACGGGCTGCTCCTCTAAAAGTGGTGGAGAAGGTCACGCACATGCACGACTCGCTAGCTCTCGCCAGGTGCATCTACAACTGAAAAGCATCCACGTGATCGTTTGGGTCGAACGACCCGTCGTACTTGTCAAGAGGGGGGAGCTTGAAGTCTTTAGGCATTGGGACTGTCAGGAGCTTGGGAGATAGGGGAGACTAGACTGAAAGGAGGGGTGCCTTGGCTTTGCCCGAGCTTACCTCTTCTTTGCCCCTGAGTTCGGGCAGGTCGTGGGTGGCAGATCGGCGAGCTCGGTGGCGGTGTCTCTGCTTCTTGGCGGGCTCGGTGTTGGTGCTGCTCACCTCTGTGCTGTTAGGAATGGTGTGTGCTGGAAGTAGCTCAGGCCATTGGTGCTGGCTGTGGACAGAGGGATCCTGCTTGGAGCCTGCGGCCAGGATCTCGAACCGGTTCTCTAGGAACGGGGTATCGGGCTTCGAGGGCCGAGGAGACGTGGACCTGGTGAGCTGGGGTCCTCCCGACCTGACTGCCCGCGGTGAAGCCAGAGTGGTTGTTCTTCCGCGTCTGCTGCGGGAGGAGGCCTGGCTTCTAGGAGGGTTCTGAGGGGCCTCTCTTTGGTGAGAAAGGTGCTCCTCCTGGCGGCAAGACCTGGCTTGCTGCGAGGCCGGGTGTCGAGGAGGGAGCTGCGGCTGCTGATGTTGAGGTTGGGGCAGCTGAGGGAATTGTTGTTGATACTGGTATTGGGAGACCTGGTGTAGCACGTGCTATTGATAGATCTGAAACTGTTGAAACTGCTGCATTTGAGCTTGCATGCACTACACCAAATCTTCCAGCTGGTTCGGGCTGGCCACTGGGGGCACATTCGAGGGTTCAGTGAAGGTTGTTCCGACTGTGGTAGGGAGTGGAGCAACGACGGGTGCCCCTGCAAGAGGCACGTTCAAACTAGGGATCCCGTCCGCTGAGAGGGGAACGGTGAACTGTCTGATGCAGATAGTAGGAAGCTAGGGCTGTTCCCTGGAGTTATTCATCTCCGTGCTTCGTTCGATATTGCTTGAGGACGCCATGAGCGTTGAGTTTTAGGAGAGTAAAAAGATGTGAAAGTTTAGAGAAAGGCTTTTTGAAGCGTTTCCCACAAATGGCGCCAAATGATGTAGCACGATTCGGTCACTCCTAGCTGGTGCTCACGTGGCTCCTGGAAGATACCTGAGGAGAAGAATATTCCCGGAGGGAGTTACCCGGCGGGAACACTCCGATGATTAAGTTAGTACTTGGTAGGAGAAGCAAGGAGGAAGATGAAGACTAGGAGTGGAGATAGCGTGCGTACCGTAGATCAATCCTCCTCCCGCCTTGATGCTAAACTCCTTATAGCATAAATCTGTTATCTCTCCCCGTCGGCCTCTGACAGGGTGGGTATAACCGTCACTGCCAACCTGCCGCAGCCGTTATTAGCAGGGCTGAGGTGGCACGCGCGGGGCCGTCACCGCTGGGTACGTGTCTGTCAGGTGTAGGACACCTTCTAAAGGTGGTAGGCACGACGCTGCCTAACGAGGGACATGGCTGCTGTCACCAGATTTGTCTAGTACGGCGGTCGGGCAGGGGATCTTCCTGCCTTCCCTCATGCGGCTCGCCGAGCTGCCACAAACTGGGGTGCTTCAGGGCAGATGGGTCCCCGCCTCGAAGCACCGAGGTGCTCCTTCCCAGGTGGGTAAAAGCTTGGCATCCCTTAGAGGAGAGCCCGGGCTCTCCGAGCTAGGCGGGGGACTGACTCGCCGAGGTATTAGCCCTCGGCGAGTTGACTGTCTTTGACTTGGTGTTTCCTCCGTGCCGAGTTGGGATCGTACTGCTAGGCTGGACTGTTCACCAGGCCAGGTCATGCCCACGTGTCCTGGGTTCATGGGGTTGAGCCAAATCGTCCTCCATCAAGTTTAATTAAATCTAATTGTAGTGTGTAAAAGTAACATTCTTTAAATAGGAGAAACTATATTAAACAAAATACAACCCCGAACCCACCCTATTGCCAATGCCATTATGCTAACTTGTTCTAGTCCTGTCAAAGTAAAACAAAATATAACTACTTCCACATTTCAGGGAAATGAAGAGGTGTGTTATGTTTTGGATGATGCATCAGCAACCATGTATCTGCACCTGAAGCTTTAACTGTGGAATTTGAAATGCAACTTCAAGTTTTCCCTTAATCTCTACCCTCAACCAAGCCATTTCTCCTCATCATACGAACCAGAATACCTTTCCTTTCTCTCTTTCCTTTTTGATTCATAATGTGAAAGGGAAAAGAAAACTAAGCAGAGAGGGCACGTCTATGGTAAGAATACTATAGATTCAACATGGCAACAACGTATATAAACAACCAGTTTCCTTTCTATCATGTATATCTAAGGAGATTGTCTTCCATCAGGGTAAACCTGTGCCCATACCGTTCTAACAGCCTTTCTCAACCTTGCATTGGGAATATCTCCCATGAAATAAAACAGAGATATTCTCAATGCAAGGCAGTAAAGGCTGCACGAAAGCCCTGACTGAAGTTGAACTCATATCTATGAAGCATCACACAAAAACAACCAAAACAACAAATAATATATTTAGAAAATTCATTTTAAGTCAAAGAAAAAATTGCAAAGGAAGACAACTGACATTCTCATCAAGTCATCATTAGAAAAAGTGCCATCGCCAGAGGCCACATCTAGTTAAATAATTATCTGTGAATTAGAAATAGATTAACAGATCAATTCTGATGTTTGCTCATCAATTTCCAAGTTGCTAGAAGTCTGGCAATTCTTTTTTGGACTTGACTTTTGAAGGCAACTTTTGCTGGAACTTGGGTGGTTACTTCATTAACCAATGGCATTTCCTTAAGTTGGGCAGCAAGGAGCAAATGGTATTGGAGATCTATTATTCACACTGTCATGTGGGGAGGAGGGGTTTGTGGACTTGCAAAGGAACTGGCCAAAGCTGCTGCAGATTTCCCCTGTTGATCCTCAGCCTATTACCCTCTCTCGTAGACAGGGTAATGATTTCATCCTCCAGTTTGGTGGCAGTTTTAGAATTTTAGCAAAGGTCAGGATACTCCTTCAGTTGCGAGTATTGGGGGTCTGCTCTACAATTGCAGTGGGGATTTAATTTAGGCTTACAGTGGCCTTACTTCAGCAGAAGATGCTTCAGGAGAAAACTTGTGTCCTGTTAGAAGGCCTAAGAATTGGCAAGACCCTTCAGATTAGCTCTCTCTTGATGGAAGGCAACTCTAGAAATACTATTCTGTAGGCTACAGTTCAGGCTTAAGACTCTTGTTAACTATCTCACTTCTCACATGAAATCCATGATATTTCATCACTCTTGAGATGTAGCTTGAGGTGGATTCCTAGAAATCTGAATCAAGTGGCTAATGGTTTAGCAAAGTCTGGTTTGGGAATGGATGCCTTGTATAGTGCAAATATAATGCTACATTAACTGTTTTTTGTTTATAATACAAGTTATCTTTCTTCAAATAAAAAAAAAAAAAAAAAAGATGACAAAAAAGAGAAAGGTGAAAAAGAGTAATAGCAGTTTCTTGACACTAATAGATGGGAAGGTCTTCATGACAAATCTTAGTCAGAGGAATGGTTGAAAGTATTGATACACCTCTGTATATCAGCAGAGATGTATTGGTACTTTAACCAATACCTGCAAACAGGTGTATCGGGGCCCAAAGAATATGACACGATATGCCCCATATCAGGCATATCGTGTTGATACTTTGAACCTTGGTCAGAGGAAGAACAAAGTATAGGCATGAATCTATTATTTCGACTGAACAAAACCAAAAAAGTTAGGAATGGAACCTCACAAAGGTATACCTATAAGCATATGTTAATACTAGATAACTTTTACAAGTGATTTCAAAGCTGACTTTAGTGGTGTCTCCAGCTGTTAGTTGAACTGAAAATGAAAACAACAGTGACAGTCCACTAGTCCTCAAATCAACAAAGATTTTAATTGCTTGCCTTGCTTTAACTCTTATATCACTAACTCAAATTCTGTATCAACTTTTCAGATGTAAAATTGACACAGAAAGGGGTGGGGGGTGGGGGGGGGGGGGAACGAGTATAAAAGTACAGTTCTGTGATGCTGTTTGGTGTAAAAATTAAACCCAAACAGCAGCATACTGGAACTGAATACAAACCAGATCGAGATTCAAACTGCAAACAAAGACGACTAAAATGTTAAGGAGAATCAATAACTACATTAATAGAAACTGAGGGAACTATATATAATATATATACAGACACATTATTTATATCCTATAATTAGTTCAAGAAGAAAGGCATCACGGTATAAAATTCATTGATAACGCTGGTAAAGAGAGTGACAAGAGAAACTGAGGAAAGAGAAGGGCACTATTACAATTTCACTTACAATATTCTGAGTCTCTGATTCTTCCAATGGAGCAATCATTACAAAATGAAGGAAAGTGGGAAATGATGGAGAGGACACGCTTAACAGATCTTTGCAGTGTGTGACCTTTGAACACGAGAAAACCCGAGAAATCTCTTTCTGTCCATGTGACAGCCTGGGCTGTCAACAGGGCTCCTTCTGCATGACACGTTAGTTTTCCCTATAACGCATCTAAAACTGATACCGTTACAAGGAGTCTGTGAACTAACATGGGGATGGTAGGGAGGAGAGCCTTATTGACAGCTCCGTCGACTCTAGATAGCCGAAATTCTTTGCCCAGCTCTCAATCTTTCAAGATCATTTTCTGATCTCCGACATTTGAAGATCTTCCAGGCATAAAATATCAGGCATAGGCCGGCAATCAATTATCCTCAACATCTTGAGAGATGTAAGGACTTGTAGCTTTTCCCTGGGAATAGCCTCCAGCATGCGACATTTTGTTATGGTCAAATGGCGGAGGGAATTTTTGTTGTTCATCAGTAGCCATTCCTGTAAAACTGTAAGGTTTTCACACTCACTTATTTGAAGGGAAGTAAGAGAGGTAAGATTGGCTGCAAATGATCCTTCATTTAATAACCTGGCATTGCAAGATTCAATCCGCAATATCTTGAGAGAAGGAAGCAGACAATTTGGTGTCACTGTAAACATTGGGCACTTCTTGATGATTAACTTCTCAAGGCAAGGGAAAGAGGAAGAGCAGGTAGAAGCTTCCATCCACTGTCTTAACATAGGCATGTCTGTCAGCCACAAGTTTTTCAACGATGGGAACAATGTGTTTGTTGTTGCTTCGTTGTCACCACCACCTACACTACCAGTATTACTGCTGCTGACTCCATGGAATTGGATACGTCTAAATTTCATCTGATGTAGGTCAAGAATCTTAAGCAATTTTAGATGACCAAGTGTGGGAACATTGTCCCATCTCAAGCATCCATGGAGAGATATTCCGACCAAATTGGGAAGAAATGAGTCAATCTCCCTAATCCACCGAGGATATCTACTGCCCCAAAAATTACTAATTTGCAACCCCTTCAAATTTGGGTGTGGTTGGAGCTCTTCCAGTACATCATCATCAGGCACATCATCATTAGTGTTGCTACCGAATGTCCTGCACCATTCCAAATCCAATCGCTGGATATTCTGCTTGTCCTCCAATTTTGCATCCTGGGCTCTCTTTGCACTACTGGTGTTCTCGAGATTTGTAATTGCTAATAGACCTCTAAGGTTTGTTAGGTGTTGCAACTCTTCAATACCTTGTCCAATGTCCCGACCCACTATAAACATGGGTAACGTCTGGAGGCAACGTAATCTCCCCATCTCGATTGGCATCTCCTGCAAGCTAATACATCCAAATAGATCAAGATGTCTCAGGTTAATAAGCTTTCTCATCTCTTTGGGAAGCACTTTAAGCTTCCTGCAATTCCAGAGCCTTAGTGTCTGTAGATTAAAGAGAGTGGTGATTGACTCGGGTAATGTGCGACATTGGTTCTCTGAAAGGTCTAGGTATCTTAATAATCTGAACTCTCCGATTGATGATGGCAACTGAGTGATGCCCACCAAATCTAATACATGCAGGCACTTAAACTTCAAAAGCATTTGAACAGAAAAATCTTCAAGTAAGTCGGAAACTTGCATAAGATCATCAAAACTAAGCCACAAAAGGCATGTTCGCAGCTTGTTCGCCTCATATGATTCTGAGACTTCTAATATTTTTGGTAAATTTGGAGCGTATACAGACAAGTGTCGAACATCAGAAGTAACAGTCAACTCCTCAACCTTTTCGTCCTTAACAGCAGAAGTAGCAGTAACATCCTCAACCTCTCTGTTCTCAACAGAGGTTAAGCATTCGGCCTTGGAAACATGTTGTGCAAGATCATGAACAAGATCATGCATCTTCACTGTTTCTATGTCTCCATACTCGTTTTTCTTTACATTTTGAAAGAACGAATTCCACAGCAAGTGATTGAAAGAGTCATTTTGTAACAATCTTTGAAACATATTTTTTTGGATTTTCTTGATTAACTCAGTATGCACTAATATATGATAGATTTTCTAGTTTAATGATTTCTTGAAAATACTCTTCGATAATACATTAATTCAAACTTTAGTTATAATATTTTTATTGATATCAAGAGAAATTTCTTGAAAAAAGGCAATATGAAGATTCTCGTGACTAAGGGGCAACCTTCTAATACTTGTTGTTTTACTTTTTTTTTCGAAGCCTAATACTTATTGTTTTACTTGCTTCACTCTTTAAGCTTTGCTTGTATAAAGAGTAGTAGTTTTTTTGAAGTACATTATTGTTGAAGATATGTATTCTTTTTTCTTCTATTAAGAGGATTACTAATGAAGCTGAGGGGCAATGACTAAAAGATTACTAATGTCGTTTGGTCACTCCTAGACTCTTAAGGAAATATTTCAAGGGTTGAAGTTATGCAAGGTGATTAGAGATCAGCTGGGCTTGTTGGGGCTATCGATGAAAAGGGTGAAAAGTTGGGTTCAATTTGGATTTTTGAGAAAAAAAGTTGGTTTTGAAATTGGAAAGGATTAATGAGAAGTCTATAGATCTCAAGGATTTTGGGAAGGTTGCTCTTACAGTAAGAAGATTCAAAAGTCAGACTCAAGTTATTAACTTCCACTGATTCCTTTAACTAATGCATTAGATTCAAGTAGATTTCCAAACAGTAATCTCTTTACTACATGGAAATAGCTCTTGAAATTTCATTACTTCTTAAAATTTATTAAAATGTCATTATTTCTTATTCCTTTTGTGAAGATTGAAATTATCACCGGTAGCCACAAGGAAATAATAACAATTATTTAATTTCAATATATTAAAAACTACAACATGAAGAAAGAGTGCTCTAGTTGAGTACCTCCTTGGGGAACAAAGTTTTCCTTAACATTGTCTCAAAACAAAACAATATACAACTATCAAATTATTCATAAAAACGTATCAAATCCTAAGCCTCGTTTCTGGTTTGATCTCAATCCTTGCACTTTTGATTTGTTTAACATTAGGCTTGGGATGAAGTAGGCAAGTTTGTATTGCACAGTTAATTATTAAATTTCCATACATGATTTTATATCTCTAAAAGTGTGATTTTTAACTTATTTTCTATTATTTTCTTATAGGTTGAACATGATAAAGGAGATACTTCACACGTGTAAATGAGACAAATTAAAATTTACATATCAAGTTTCTTTTTTATGCTTTTAGTTTCAAGTATTCAAGAACCTTAAATTTGTAATAGATTTTAAATACATAGATGTATTAAAAGTACCCTTGAGATGTAATTCATTTCTTCATTATATAATTTTTTATTAAAATTTTGTGTTCAAGTTTCATCTTATATTATGAATGAAATAAGTTGTGCTTGTATTCGATAGAGGGAAAATGGATTAAAAAAGTAATGAAAAGAAATTCAAGATCTAATTATCAATCATTATTAACAATTTTATCTACATGTAGTTAAAAGCAATAGCTAGATTCATGGTTTTTTGCTACAGACTGCTTAACCCGTAGCTATAGGCTTTCACTTTTAGCCATGGATAACCTGAATTCGTTGCAACAAATTTATACTTTTTAACTACAGTCAAATTAAACCGTAGCTATAGATTCATATTTGTTTTCAAAAACCATAGTTATAGATGCAAATTTTATAGTTAGACATCTTACAACTGTGGCTATAGAGTAACATTTAACTACGGTTTATTTCACAACCGTAGCTATAAAGTCAATTTTGTAGTTACGAATAACTTAAAAACCGTAGCTAAAAATTTGCATATAATAGGTTTGTTAAGGCTTTAGCCACAGTCGTAGCTATAGGTTAGTTTTAGCTACGGATTTTAGCGTCCGTAGCTATATCCTATAGCCACGGCGACTGTAGCTACTATTTTTTGACCATAGCTAGTCTGTAGCTATAGACCTATAGCTACAAATTTTTGAATTTATAGCTACGGTTTTGTTCGTACCTATAGGTCTATTTTCTTGTAGTGTAGATTCATCATCTGTCTTATCAATTGAACCTTCACGAGAAGTTCGTAATGGTAGAGTAAAGGGGTTTATTAAATCATCTGAATCTTTTAAGAGAATATCGTATGGTTTTAAGAAATGAAGAAACAATTGTGAAATCAGAACTGGACTACTACTTAGAGGATGCAATAGAAGAAGAGAACTCAAGTTTTGATATTTTGATTTGGTGGAAATTGAATAGCCACAAATATTGTCTACTTTCTCAAATAGGAAAAGATTCTTAGATATTCATGTATCAACCATTGATTCAGAGTTTGCCTTTAGTGCAGGAGGTAAAGTGCTTGACCAATTTTGTAGTTCATTAAGACCAAGGATTGTTAAGTCTTTGATCTGTACCCAAGATTGGTTAAAAGGTCCATCAAACCCAATTCAAATTGAGGAAAAATTAGAAGTTCTTGAAAAGATAGAAACATGTACTTCAATTCCTACTTATTTGTTGTATTCTCCTTTTGTTTTATTATTATAAACTTATAATATAAAGTTCATTTTCCTTTCTAATAGCCTTGACAGATGAAATTGGTGCTCCATCCGGCTTGTTCTATTAATGTGTCTAATCTTACTACATAATGAGTGCTTGAGGTGATTAGAATTTTAAACATGTATCGCCAATCCATCTAAATATTGTTACTTCTTTACTAAATTTATGAGTTTATTAATTTGCTTTCAAGAACAAGAAGTTGAATAGATTTTGGAAGATCTTAGGCTGCTAATGAAGTTATTTTTATAGATCTTAAACTCTTTTGTTGTTTTGTGGACTACTTAATTGATTTTAAATTTTAATGGTTAATAGATTTTGAATAAATTTTAATGGTTGCCTTAGGTGCCGCTTCGTACCTAGAGGGCATCAAGGACACCAAGGCGCAGGTGTTGACCTTGCTGCCTTAGTTTGACATTAGCTAGTTGGGGATTCAGCCTGATCCGTTGTTCAAGGGGTCCCTTCCAGCCAATGGAGTGCAGTCGTCCGAGGGTCTACCCGATGGAGAGCAACCTATGCCAATTGATGTGGCCAAGGGGAACGCTAAAGCCTGAAGGGTCGTCCTTTGCTGCCCCTTCCCCTTTTTTCATCTTCTCCAAAATTTTGTAAGGGGCTTGTTCTCCCCCACTCGATGCCACTTTTTGTAAAGTTTCAAAGATGACATCAATGAAATACTCTTTTTGCATAACTTGTGCCTTGTTTATGCTTGTGTTTTTTTTCTTTTCTTTGTGCTTTTGTTTTTTTGGTGTGCTAGGAGCCGATGTTCTCTTCCAAGAGGTCACAGGTAGAGAAAAATATAGTGACTTATTACTTAGACGTTCATTTAGGAAACAAGGTTAAAGAACTTTAGCTAAGGCCAAACTACGCCGCCGAGGGCTTTGAGCCTCTTTCCTTAATAGAAACGAAGGGGGGGGGGGGTGAATGCCTTAGCTTTCCTGGCTTATTCTCCATCCCCATCAAGATAGTTAGGCCAATAGCGAGAAGGAAAGGGAGGCGAATGCCTTAGCTCTCCGAGCCTGTTCTCCATCATCGTCAAGGTAGTTAAGCCAAGGTCGAGTTGTGCCACCGAGGATTCTAGGCAAGGTGCGCACCTTAGCTTACTTGGCCTAGCCTTTCTTCGGGATTTTGGGGTGTAAGCCTATGGGCAGTTGAGGTTGTGGGGACGTGCTTGGCCTAGGTCACGAAGTGCTTCCTGTCTTAGCAAAGTAATTTGCCAAATTTAGTGTGTTTGTTCATTAAATGATACTCTCTCTCTCTCTTTTGGAGAGTGATTGGAAGTCTCTCCTGCAAAATATGAAAATCTCTTTGTCTCTCCCCGAATCATTGTTTCATGAAAATCTCTATAGTGCCTTAGGCCATAAATAGATTATGTTGAATTATGTAAGATTAAAAATCAAAAACAATGATGGATTTGCTCCTCACACATGTTTGAAATGCATAAATAGATTATGTTTGAAATGCACAATCACAATGATGGATTTGCTCCTCACACATGGCGCTTCATACTGACCTTATAGGCACATTCCACCATGCATTAGGAACATCTCCCGCACTTATGTATTATTATTTACAGAAAATGTTCTCAATGCATGGTATGATGTGCCTGTGAGATCGTTGTGAGGTTGCTTGTGTGAGTAGATCCTAATTCCTCCATCACACTATTGAGTATTGACAAGAGTGCATTGGCCAAGTCCGATTTCAGTCACGGCAAAGCCTGTTTGGGCAGCCTTTACCGCTTTGCATTGAGAATATCTCCGTATTTATGTGCTTTATTTCATGGGGAGATATTCCCAATGCAAGGTTAGGAAAGGTTGTTAGAATGGTGTGGATATAGGATTGCCCTGATGGAAGCTGATCGCATATCAACTAGCAATAAACAATGAGTCACTCTTCTAAGCTTCCACCATTTTTATTGACTACTACTTGTATAGTTGTATTGAACATGATCAATAATAACAAAAGAGGAAACACCGCATTCTCGTTGAAGCAACATCCAACATGACACTAGGTGGTTACTCCATCTATGAATGTGGTGGTAAGGTTACATGCAGGGATTACCTTGAAGGACGAAGGAAGGTTGAGGGCAAAGGGTAGGTTAAAGGTTCTAAGTGATAATGATGTCTTCATTATGAGTTAAACCTCTATATATAGGGAGAGATCCCGAGGTCCCGAAAGGACGGAGCTAAAAGCATTTTACTCCTATTAAAAAAAGGAATCTTCGATTCAGTGTCATCTATTAAATAACACTGCTAGGATTTCGCCACATGTCTTATGAGATATTTCAAAAAAAAAAATTCTTATAACATACATATGCTACTTCGTTTTAGTAGCATATGTATGTTACTAAAATGTTTAATTAAAATGTTTTAGTAGAAAATATTTAATTAAAATGTTTAACCAGTGGGGCGTAACAGGTTTGGGATGGGAAAATTTTGAGAAATTGAAAGGAAAAATTAGATAAATTTAAAACGGATTTAAGGTCAGGGATGCATAAGGGGTTTCGCAAACGGGTATCTTGCCCATGATGCTCATTATTTTTGTGAGCCCCGGTTGTGAACTCATCTTTGTACTCGTACACTTCGCTTGAGTGACAAATGTAAGAGTAGAGACAAGTAGCATTGTAGGTGGTTGCTCCGTCTCTGTCAGTGGACCGAATTCACTCCATTATTTTGATATATTTCGTCTACGGCGAGGCTTACGTCACAATAGCACATGGCGGGGCATGACCACTCAGGTTAACAAAGTATTCTTCCTCGCCCACTCAACTACCCATGATTGCAATATTTATTTATTTATTCGTCTTTTATAGACTCGGTTTGGAAGAGTATAAATACATATAAAATGTAAGGTTTTGCATTCTATGGCCTAAGAACATACGATACGAGTACGCTTTATGGGCTTGGTGGGCTAACCCATCAGCCGATTGATTCATCTTGCGAAAAACTATTATTAATCATCCAGAAGTCTCACAGTATTTTTTTTTTTTTTTTATTTCTTTTGAAAGACTTACACAATGAGGTAGACGGATAGGCCATCTCCCAACCTGGGTGAAATTTGATATCAAGTCTTCGCTACGATCAATAGGAAACCTTTCCAACCAGCTGATTGGCATCTTATAAAGTCTCATAACAACGATGTTGTACAAGTAAAATCGATGTAATTAAACAGAGTTTTAAAAATTACAAATTGATAATCTAAAAGTGTGATTAGATGTTAGAGTTTATTGTCAGAAATGAAAATGTGCACCATTTAAAATTATGGAAAACATAAATTTGAATTTGCAATAAAGCTCTTTAGTTTTCTATACTTTTAAACTATTTTGATAAACAAACAATTAAAAATATGGAAAACTGAAAAGCATTATTAAGAATCTATACATATACTATGAGAAGATATTAAGTTCAAAAAACAACCTTAGTAGTGAAAATGTGTAGAGTTGTTGTTAAGTTCCATATAAAGCAATGAAGCCTGAGTGTTCCAACACACACACAAGAGAGAGAGCGAGAAAGAGAGAGAACCTAAGACAACTGCTTTGTCAAAAAAATAACTTAAGAGGTAAGACAACAAGAGTGAAAGGAAAAGATTGGGTGATTAGTTCTTTCCCAAGTTTTTATGAGCTCTCTATGGCCCAATGGTTCTTTTTTTTCTCTGGTAATGTTTGCTTACGTTATTCAGGGTCTTAGGGATTTGGTACAACTCTTGAGGGACAAAGATCATTGACTGGTTTCAGGACACCACATCAATGACTATATACTTTATTTACCATTCCAATTCTATGCCCATGATTAGTTGCGGCTTTTGCACATCACTAGCATTTTCAAGATCAGTTGA